GACCATCCATAGTATTATGTTAACCATACAGTGTAATGTTGACTACACGTAGTATTATGTTAACCATACAGTGTTATGTTGCCTACACATATTACATATTAATCATACAATGTTATGTTGACTATCCATAGTATTATGTTGACCATGTAGTGTTATGTTGGCCGTTCAAAGTATTGTGTTAACCATACAGTGTTATATTGACCTTCCATATTATTATGTTAACAATAGAGTGTTATGTCGACTACACATAGTATTATGTGAACCATATAGTGTTATGTTGACTACACATAGTATTATGTTAACCATACAGTGTTATGTTGACTACACATAGTATTATGTTAACCATACAGTGTTATGTTGACTTCACATAGTATTATGTTTACCATGCAATGTTATGTTGACTACACATAGTATTATGTTAACCATACAGTGTTATGTCGACTACACATAGTAATATGTTAACCATGCAGTGTTAAGTTTACTACACATAATATTATGTCAACCATACAGTGTTAAGTTCACTACACATGTTATTATGTTAACCTTACAGTGTTATGTTGACTTCACATAGTATTATGTTAACCATACAGTGTTATGTTGACCATCCATAGTATTGTGTTAACCATACAGTGTTATGTTGTCCATCCATAACATTATGTTGACCATACAGTGTTATGTTGACCATCCATAGTATTATGTTAACCATGTAGTGTTATGCTGGCCGTTCATAGTATTGTGTTAACCATACAGTGTTATATTGACTTCACATAGTATTATGTTAACCATACAGTGTTATGTTGACTTCACATAGTATTATGTTAACCATACAGTGTTAAGTTTACTACACATAATATTATGTCAACCATACAGTGTTAAGTTTACTACACATGTTATTATGTTAACCTTACAGTGTTATGTTGACTTCACATAATATTATGTTGACCATACAGTGTTATGTTGACCATCCATAGTATTGTGTTAACCATACATTGTTATGTTGACCATCCATAGCATTATGTTGACCATACAGTGTTATGTTGACCATCTATAGTATTCTGTTAACCATACAGTGTTATGTTGACTTCACATAGTATTATGTTAACCATACAGTGTTATGTTGACCATCCATAGTATTGTGTTAACCATACATTGTTATGTTGACCATCCATAGCATTATGTTGACCATACAGTGTTATGTTGACCATCTATAGTATTCTGTTAACCATACAGTGTTATGTTGACTTCACATAGTATTATGTTAACCATACAGTGATATGTTGACTACACGTAGTATTATGTTAATCATGCAGTGTTATGTTGACTACACATAGTATTATGTTAACCATACAGTGTTATGTGCCTACACATAGTATATGTTAATCATACTATGTTATGTTGACTATCCATAGTATTATGTTGACCATGTAGTGTTAAGTTTGCCGTTCATAGTATTGTGTTAACCATACAGTGTTATATTGGCCGTCCATACATAGTATTATGTTAACCGTACAGTGTTATGTTGACTACACATAGTTTTAAGTTTTATGTTAACCATATATAGTGTTATTTTGACCATATCTGGTGTAATGTTGAACATACATAGTGTGATGTTGACTATCCCTAGTTTTATGTTAACCATACAGTGTTATGTTGATCATTCGTAGAATTATGTTAATCATACACTGTTATGTTGAAAACACATTGTGTTATGTTGATCATATATAGTATTATGTTAACCATACTATATTATGTTGATCATCCATGGTATTATGTTGACCATACATAGTGTTATGTTGACCATACATAGTGTTATGTTAACCATACGGTGATATGTTGACCATAAATAGTATTATGTTGATCATACAGTATTATGTAGTAAAACCGGTGATTAATATGGACATGATTTCGAAAATAATGTTTCGCTAAAGAACCAAAGTTAGCCAGATGACGTCTTGTTTACTTAGACTGTGTGAGAAAATACAAAAATATTTACAAATTTTACATTTAAGTAAATCGTGCATAGAAAAGATGAGTGATGATAATAGAATGGGAGAACTAAAAATAAATAAAAATAATAAAACAGTGATCCTAAAAATGCATCAGAATAGCCTCTACCCGTACACGTCACATTCAACAGAGAAAATGAGTGCAACTTCAGACAAGCTCAAAAAACTTCGAGCCTCGAAAAAAAACGGCAAGGACCCTCAAAGATATCTATATTAATATCACTATGAACGAAATACATTCGGGTTCTTTATTGTGCCACCGACCAATCAAAAGACGCCTTAGAAAGCGTAAACAAGTAGGTGAGAGTCTGTCCATAAAACCAAAAAGCATTTATTGGTTGGCTAGCGACTTAATGAAGTGCACAGATGTAAAAGCCGAAATCCTATTAAAAGTAAGATTCGAGTTCTGGTTTAATTTAAACTATGTACGACCGATTGGCCGCAATATCGCGATGTTATAAGAATTGGCATTATATATTTGAAGTTTAATTGCCGTATTTTTTGTATTGCTTGGGCATTCTGTTGTATTAGCTGCGAATCACATTTAAATATTCCGTAAAAACTATAAATTTCTAGTATGACGTGTTTACATTTAAAAATATATTCTGCTTGTATTTCGAACGACTGTGACGTCATCATGGATTGTGTATGTGAATACGCAACTATCCGGGATTCTCACGTTCGTGATGACGTCACACATTTATTTGGTGTGTGAATTTTATTGGCTTCTGTGCCTTGAGTCTCGTATTATCCATCCACAGGGCAGCTGACTGGCCGTGATTGTTATGAAACTTCATTGAAATCGCCATCGGTTGTAAGTGGTGTTTATACAATCACCGTCAGTGAAGACAAACCATTGAAAGTCTACTGTGACATGAAGACGGACGGAGGAGGATGGACGGTTTGTACAATATGTTAAATAATTATATATATTAATTAGCTAGCCTTGCCTCAGTTATTATGTGATATAAATACATAAATAGTGTTTGGATTAATTAATTTAATTTGCAACTTAGGTGATTCAGCGGCGACGCGACGGCAGTGAAGATTTCTATCGCGAATGGATAGATTACAAAACTGGTTTTGGTAATATTAGGGAAGAGTTCTGGTTAGGTTTGGATAACATTCACAGTCTTACGAATCAAGATAAAGAATATAGTCTGAGAATCGACATGGAGGATTTTGACAACAACCATGCGAGTGCGCAATACAATCATTTCAGCGTTGGAAACGAACAAAATGGCTATAAATTGAATGTGAGAGACTATAGCGGTACTGCCGGTAAGCTGTTGTCCGATATCTTCTTATATGTTGATTACTCAACTTCTGTGCTATGCTTTTTATGTCATAGGGACGATACAATATGGTGGAATAAAATGATACGAGATCAGTGTGAGATCGTACATTACCAATACGAATTTTTTTAATAATACGAAATCGCAGAATCAATAAAAGATTTGATATACATTATTAATACGAATATTATTAATATTAATATCTCACAAATTAACAATACGGGATCTCGCATTAACAGTATGAGATATGACATTATACGAGATCCCACATTATCAATACGAGATCTCACACTGTCAATACAAGATTATTAATTCGAGATCTTAGTTGATGAATAGTCACTACAATATTTTACATTATTAATACGAAATCTCACACTGTCAATACAAGATTATTAATTCGAGATCAATAGTCACTACAATATTTTACATTATTAGTACGAGATCTCACATTATCAATTCGAGATGTTACATTATTAATGTGTTGTATTACATTTCCATTTGAAACCATACTCTCAGGTGATTCGTTGAGTTATCATAACGACATGGAATTCGCCACTAAAGACAGAGACAACAACAATTGCGCAGTGACGTCATACGGTGCTTGGTGGTACAACCACTGCCATTGGTCGAACTTGAATGGAAAATATGCAGGAGGGCACAATTCACGTGACGACGCTAACGATTCGTGGAATACGTGGAGAGGGGCAGATTACGGCCTTAAAATGATTGAAATGAAAATACGACCATCGATGAAATAACGGCATATTCGCGCTGATAATGTCAATGTCACTAGAATTTATAGTTGTTTATTAATTTGTTTATGTATCGTGTTTATTTAGATGCTTATATTTTGTCGTGTTCTAATGCGGTATTTGACACGTTTCTTGTTTACCAGCTTTTGAAAATAACTTACGGTGCCTATTTGAACGTGTTATCACCGGTGAGCTCAGGTTCTTGATAATTTTCAGCGACTGCTTATCATCTTGTACGTTTTTGTATGCTGTACAGTGTATAAATAAGATAACTGTGTGATTTGAAGGTATGCTCTCGTCAGTATTATCGCAACTCTGATTGTTGAATCGGGGGTGTCGTCACCTGCGCATGCGTCAGGTGGACATAGCGTGTTATTGTTTACAAACAAGCGCGTACCCATGAGCCTTTGCGTTTTTCATCGTTTGGGATTTAATTCCCGCGCGTGCGCAGTTCGATTCAATTCCCGCTTTAAGATCGATTTTTTATTATCTCGTACAATTTGTGTGTATTTGTAAAGATAATCGCACGAGATATAAAGGGTATGAGTGGATTTGCTGAAATAATCGCACGACCAGAAAAATGAGTCATATGACCAAAAAAGGTGTTTATCTCTAATGATTTTAATAAATGGTTTACTGACCTCCACTAACGCCGCACCCAGCAACCATGCCTAATCGTATGTGTATTAAATGTGTGGAATTGAATTTAGTTTTTTGTCATATTTACAATGATGTTAATGACGTCAATGTCACTATAATTGTGACTTGCATTTTTTGATGGCGTAATTGGTAGTGGAAGTTTGGCATATTTACTGTGATGTCAAAGTCAGTAAAATTGTGGCACATTTACATTGATGACGTCAATGTCAGTAAAATTGTGGCACATTTACATTGATGACGTCAATGTCAGTAAAATTGTGGCATATTTACACTGATGACGTCAAAGTCAGTAAAATTGTGGCACATTTACATTGATGACGTCAAAGTCAGTAAAATTGTGGCACATTTACATTGATGACGTCAATGTCAGTAAAATTGTGGCACATTTACACTGATGACGTCAATGTCAGTAACATTGTGGCATATTTACACTGATGACGTCAATGTCAGTAACATTGTGGCATATTTACACTGATGATGAAAATGTAAATAGAAATGTTATCCATAAAGCATTGTGCCAAGGCGAATTTGCGTGTTGCGCCCTCTATCAATGTAATTGAGCCGCTTTTCAAATCTGTGAAGTTCCATTCACTCTGATCCATCCAATGTTGAGATTGTGGATGAGTAATGAAAAATTACTGCAGAATAAGAATTTAAGTGACCTCTCCTAAATTAAGCTGTATTTGTAAACACTATACAGTTAGGAGTTAGGGGGTTTTGTTTTTCCTTGAAGGTCAGTAACAATGATGGATAAGGGATAAGACCTTCCAGTACTCTCAAAATGAAACGAGCGAGAAAAGTTATGCCAGGTTATCTAGTTTTAATATATCTTTTTAGCTAAAACAACATTATTTGTACACATTTTATGTTTTTATCTCCCACTGGTGTGATCTTTCACATATATGTAAAGTGTGAATTCAACTTTCAATAATAGCTGGACTTAACCAGTCGCTTTGTTTTCGCTATTTTTCTCTGATACCAAACAATACATACGAGAGCTCACTTTAAACATATATCTGTAATATTGTTGTTCGATACTTCATAAAATATACTCCATAAAAATGTTGCGTTTGCAGAACACAAAACATGCGCATTGATTGTTATTGTACGTACTAAAAGACCGGTGCGCATGATTTCGTCATTTTTCATCGAACGAACACTCACTGAGATGTGTGTATGTACAATAAAACGTTTCCTGGATATGAATAATCTTAGTACGATGTAGTCATCAACATGCAGTATCAAACAATATTAAAGGGCGGTAGTCGTCGCGCCACGCATGCGCAAGATATATATATTTCATATAAACAAAGATGGCGACTTTGACTGTTGCGCAGATCAACTAATACAAACTGAAACGTTACAAAGCTTTAATTAGGACTTTTCAGGTAATTGGAAGGTATCGAATGAGCCACCAGCGGTAATTAGTGCAAGTCGCACCCAGGTCAAGCTCATACTTGTGATTTATATTAGAAGAGCGCATTGAATTGTGGGAAAATCAATGTTTATCAACACAAATGTGCGACGACTACCGCCCTTTAAATGTTCGCATCTTTATTGCATTTTAAACATATAACATTAATTATGTTATTTTCAAAAAAATAAGAAAATTTGACAAATAGATATGTGTTAGCTTGATGTTCTGTCGCCATGAACTTGTGGGCTCGTTCGCAGTCGTTTTATGACATACATGGTGAATGCAAATATTTCTGGATTCTGCGGTGTTTCATATCAAGAATTTATCTGCCATGCATTGGTGTGATATGTAGGTATTAGGAGAACGATCGTTTCATCAGTCACGTGACTGGCTGGCTACGAACGAGAAATCAGGTGTGACGTACTCGAACAAACATACCACGTGGTACTGTAACAAACAAGTCGTCAACTGAATCAAACATCACATTCTTCATACTTTCATGTCATTATTAGGCAGTATTGAGAAATGTCAGAATAATCATTGTATTTCTTTTCCCAGCTTGTGTCCATAGTAATGTTTGACACCCCTAGATTAATATTTGGTGACATTGACTGAAAGTACCATACTGTAAAATGACTAATTTTCACTGGGTTTAAATTTCACTGATTTGCCATTTCAGGCATATTCAGTGGGTTTTAAATTCACGGTTTCGTCATTTAGATAATGTGTTCTATGCTAAATTTTACATATTCACTGGGTTTTAATTTAGCGCATTTTCCAGTCAGCGAAATAAGCTAAATTAAAACCCAGTGAATAATTACCCCCTTTACAGTATTTTGAGTGATATGATACTGTTCTAAATTCCTATAAAAGTTCATTAAATGTCCGTATTATTATATATGTTCTCTTCCATAATATTAATATATTACTCTGTGGGATTACCAGTAATTACAAAGCTTGCATTACAATGGAATTGCCTTAATTATATCTTCAATATATGCTAGCATATCAGAACTGGAAAAATCATAAAAAGTGTCGTCCATCGAATCGTACCATGATAAAAGAAGAAGCCGATATAAATGAAACCATACCAAGGAATGACGTCACTTCATGATCGCTAACATGCGGTCAGAACCATGTGCACTGATTGGTTCATGATTGACAGATGACAGACAACCTGTTTTTGTGTTATATATTTTCCTTCTGTTGTCAACTACAAACAGCGATAAAGTGTATCAGGCATTCTGATTGTATTGTATGGTTCCAGCTATTATGATGGCCATGGAACTCCCACAGTACGCTGTGTGAGTCACCGCAGCAAACTACACTGGAAGGACACGACATGGTGTAATGATGTCTTAAAACTAAAAATAAATTACAGAACGAACATGATGAATTCGTAGTTTATAAAATTCAATGTTGATTTGTTCATATTCATAATACATATGACAATTTAATGACGCAAAAATTTCACAGTTTGAATTTTTAATTTTTTCAACTATTAATTTTCTGAAAATAGTGTTGATAATTGTTCAATTATCGATAATGCGCGCAACGCATTTAATTGTCAAAATCGCCACCGTTCTGCAAACTAAAGTCCATTTCATTACCGTAACGTGAGTTCTGCAGTAACGAGAACAAAAACGTGAAAAAAAGCAAAGTCCTGATTTAAGCGATATCCACAAAGTTCAGATTACAAAGTGTGACGATCTATATCTAAGTTTGTGCGGTTTAAAATTAGTGATCAATTACGTTAAAACATTCACAGCCTGAGTAACGTTCTGTTAAACATTTCTGCAGGCTCTCTTCGCAGTACTACGTAGTGGTTCTGTGTCAATACAATATGTTCAATGCATCATCAGAGAAAAGAGTTTAACATTTGGCAAGCTGAGCTTGTAATGCATGTCTTCTCCGATCTGTCAAGTACTATTCCCTCGCCTTTTTTTTTTTTTTTTTTTTTTCGTTTGTTTTGTTTTTCAAATTTCACATGACAACAATATCTGTCTTCGGTTGGTTTCTCCGGTAATTGAAACATGCCACGAACATTTTAGACTTCAATGGAATAAATACAAGATGGTAGTGTATCAAACAGATAATTGTTATTTGGGCGATGTACGGTAAATGTTGTCCGTTGTCAGCGTTGAATAGTTACCCAAGCTGGTCATCTACTCGCGTGGATCACATGTGTGTGGATATGAATCCATGGTAATCTCTTTTTTAGTGGATCCGTACTTTTGAACTATTGTATGACGTATTTGATTGATATATGTGTGAATTGTGAAAATTATTGCAAATACGTTCAAATGTCAACAATTTCCGGTTCAAATGAATGCTAGTGATTGTTTCGGATTCCTAGTATTTGATTTGTTGTTCGAAATTCATTTGCTGTCGCTATCTTGACAGTAGATTCACACTCATTCGTAGCAAGAATTCTCGTCATGTGCGCTCAGAATAAATCCATCTCAGAGATCATTCATACGAATACGCACGATTCGTGACAACCTGAATGTTTGAGAAGACTCCAACCGTGAGGTGTTCTGGTTATTGAGGTTCACGGTAACTCTTGTGGCCGATCACTACGTAGTATGACGTCACACAACCACAGAAGTAAGATGTAATTTATAACAATATTGACACATTACTTCATACAGCGTTTCATTCCAATTATTATTTCATTTTATCGATTATATTCATAGTTTCCCAACTACAGGTTTATACCTCACCGTCCCATATCCAACATTGATGACGTCATATATATTATAATCGTATATCAAATGTCACATCGGCATTTACGGCCATGCTGCAACACTTTTGCGATTTGAAATTTTTTTATACAAATTTTGATTCGCATAATCAAACGAAATATGATTATTTTGGCGTGGTAAAGAATTCCATACGGAGTACATGAACACAGATTTGTTTAAAGGGAATAAATTAAAAATAAACAAGTTGGTATTCGAAGGTGAAGACGTTATTTTTGGCTACCAGGTTGCAGCCTAAGGCAAGCAGACGAATGTTTGATTGGTTATTCGCAGGCGATCAGTTCCACAGTATGACCAGGTGACCTATCTGCACCCAGGCGACGACTGGGTTGCAAGCAGACGACGAGTTCACCACCAGGCAGTCGGATTGCACCCGGGCGACGACCGGGTTATAGGCAGACGACGAGTTCACCACCAGGCGACCGGGTCACCAACACCACGTTGGGGTAGATTAGCTTTACAATGGCAAACAGCCAGATACAGCAGACGACCTCGTATAATGACGTAAGCGGAGCCATATGAATAATGGTTTGGATTCCACTCAATAAAGTTATTGAGATTTCTCGAAGTCTTGGAATTTTCGAAGCCGCTTCCAGCGTTTGGCAAACGTGCTTCCAATAAAACTGGTGGGCGGAATGTCACTTGAGTCGTTATACTAAATACCGTTAGTATGGTGGTAAGGTGTAAGGTATCTGTTTGGGGGCATATCTGAGTCTCTGCAATCATCGTCGTATTTTCCTGATGTTTCCCTATTTATTGTTTTAACACATGTTACTATCGTCTGCTGGTTGTAGCAAAGTTGAAGGTGACATTTCAACACTTTGTGGATGGTGACCTGTCACATGATTTAAACCGACAATGCCTTTATTTATTTATTTATTTATTTATTTTTGAAACAACAAAATTTATGGGCAAGTTTTAGCGGGAAAATAAATTTCAAGTCCAATTAATTCTCGTTGGTTTTGATACACATCTTAACAAAAATAGAATGTCGATTAATGTATTGTGGTTTGTGGGTGAGAGCGAGAAGACATGTTTTAGATGATTCTCCAATACCACGAGACAGATACCGGTTGCCTGCTCGTTGTATATCAAAATACACTGACTACTAACAATATTCTGCTTGTCGTTTATTGACTATCATGCCAGTAGGTGCACTAAAGCCACCGGCGGGATGTCTATCATAGATTGAGTAGTAAGCCAACGAGTGTCGATACTCCCTGTGCTGATGATCATTTAATTTAATTGTTTCCGTGCTACCAGGGACAAAACACTAAAACGAAATGTGGATCTGACAGGGTAAGGTCACGTGGGAAAACCACAGGAACGCATTGATGGCGGCAATGACTTGTTTATAGATGCGTTATTCTTATTCAACGTGACGTCATCCATGAATGCACATAATAATGTAACAGCGTTAGCATATTGTGCGAATTACTCTTTCAGTAAATTTCTTAAAAATAAAATTAATGTGATATATTATAAGTGACATGATTGGCTACTCACACTCACGTGATTTCTCATACGTCGCGATATTCAAATATACCCACAATGCTATAATATGTAAACATACGATTGATAATAGTAGTGATTTTGTTGTCTGCGACAAATACGATTTTAACAATAGAAGACCAGACGTTATATTCATTTCTTCTCTTAAAAACGCTGCATTTATTGATATGTTTTAGTATTTTTTTCTAATCCATATAATGAACACATAAATAAATGAAAACATCGACGTGTAACATGACGTGTATGTATGCTAATACCTGGGCTGCACATGCTTGTTTTTTTCCGGCTGCCCGTTTCACCTATATATTTATTTTGTAACACAAACTTTAAGGTAATTTTATTCAGCATGACATGAGAAAAAAAACCCATAGTCCGGCTTTAGTTTTAAAAATTCGTTTGAATTTTCACCTCTTTTTAAATAATTACTTAATGCACTGCAATGCTGGTGGCGGTGCTTGTTCGATTGTATGCCTACACCACAGTATGTGATGTAACAGTCACGAAGCTAACACGAAGGATATCGATGATAATATTTGCAAACACCACAATACAATTTAAGTACAGGAAAGGCAATAGACATGCTTACCAAAACTAGATAACGGACGGTAAATACACACGTTCATCTCTCAAACGCATACTTTCCTCTGCGTAGTACATTATGTATCATAGTCGCGAGGACCACTGTTTTTAACCATGTGTGTGATCATATTTTTTGACTTTATTTCATTTTATGCCGTTATTCAAAACACTATGATAAAAAAAATCATATCGGAACTACTTTTTATTCAAAAAAGTTCCCAAAAGTCGATGATTGAGTGGAATTAACGAATTGTAATACAGCTAGAAATCCGTTTGACGGAAAATAAAGTTGAGTTCTTCATTTTCGATAACATGTGTTTAGAAGCGGAAAGGAAAAAAACATCGATTTCGCGGTGTCGGCTTTTTAGGCGCATGAGACACGTGTCGAAGATATGTTAAGTGACTGTTTTAGGTATTGTTTTACGGTGGCAATGAAGCAGAGAAGCGTTGGTGCAAGCTGCCGACTTGGATGTCACAACATTGTGAGTTGTAAACATAACACTATATGCCAATAACAACAAATGATTTATTCGATTTGTATACTTATTTGCTGGATAGTGTGAATGGAAGGAAATCATAACTTCCCACGTGTAAGACACGATATGTCGATGGTCATTTTTGTCTACGCTTTACCTAGCAAAATGATGACGGTAATTTTGATTCATTTGCCTCATTGACTCGAGTGCCTACTTAATACGAAACCTGACACGGCCATGTTCTCTAATTTGGCCATGTGGTGAACGGGAACAACTCAACCGATGGCGTTCAACTTGATTAGCGGTATGAAGCGGACATCGGCTTGAATTACTCTCACCTAAAAAGACTAAGAGATACGGATGGCTGGAAATCCTAATTACCATCGGAATTAGGAAATAATCGAAACTGCAAAATCAAAACGTGCTGAGTGGTGGAACACGGACTGGCCGTATGAGAAGATGCAGGTTCTCTTTTTGACTCCAGATTGTGTTTCGCTCAAAGATCTGAATCAACTTTATTCTCTTCATCACTCCCAAGTCTGCTGCTTTCCTGTTGAGAGTATTAATATTCTACTCGAACTGCCAGGTCGCTGGTTTGATTCACCCCTCAGTCGTTCGTTAGGTTTCCTAGAAAATGCGGGCTAGCCATCCTGATTGATAAGATGTATTTTATCCGAAAATGACTATTAATTAAACCAACAGAAATCAATGCATACCCGTAACGTCAACTGATGAAGACCCGTCGCTATCAGCTGATCAAATTGTAACCGCCAACCAGAATTTTTGTTGCCATATGTAAATGTCAAAATATTGTTTGTTTGTTTGTTTTAAATGGCATATTGTCAGAAGAAAGATAATAACATAACCAACTCAATCATTAACAGCGATGTTGCCATGGTGACCTTAATCAGGCAAAGACGCGAAACCTATTGAAATTTACATATTGAACATAAATATCAATATATGAAGTAACCAAGCTGTCACGTGACAATTATATGCGATTTAAGTTGATTCACAAAGTTGTCACAAAATCTATTTTTATTTGTCCTCACAAAATGTTTATGGAAGTATTGTTTTCCGCAACAAGCAAAGTTTGACTATATCTGATGCTGCGCATGCGTACTTGGCATTATAAATTCTTGGGGTTACTGTGTGGTGTCCGTTTCAATACCGAGCATTCTATTATTAAGGAATCATTTATCCACGGCATCCAGTCGAGATGAGATGTGTATTTAGTTGATAACACCACCATCGTGTTTTAGACTGAACAGCAATGAACGGGCTGCGAAGTAGTTGTCGCTATACACCACTGACGGGTAGTTGCCACGAGGGTACTTACGATGACGAGCATCGGCATCATGAAACATATAGACGTCAACAAGGAGCATTCTACCGGACAATGTTAGCCGACTCCATGCATATCAACAAAGGAAATGAATGCTACGATTTGGAAGATGGGGAGAACGGTGACGCTGATGAAGATGAGCATCTAGAGCATGTCTTCGCGCCAGGCTATACGGGACAGTCACAGAGAAAGTGTTTACTATGGGCTTGCAAAGCATGCAAGAAGAAAACAGTCGCTATCGACAAGAGAAAGGCAGCCACAATGAGAGAACGAAGACGCTTAAAGAAAGTTAACGAAGCATTTGAACTTTTGAAGAGACATACAAGTGCCAATCCCAACCAGAGACTCCCAAAAGTAGAGATTCTACGGAACGCTATTGAATACATTGTTAGACTCGAAAAATTGTTACATGTGGAAAGATCCTCGATGTCAATTGATAAACTAGACTACGACTCTGGTAGAGAATCGGCGAGCCCCAAGGTAAGGTGGCATTTAATTATTTGATCTAGGCAATATATTAGGGGGCATCTCCTGTGATTGTTATGTGTTTTTTTTAATGTGCTGAGTCATGTACCCCCGACCCCGTTGACATATGCCCTTGCTGTTTGGCTGTACCCTAAGCTGAGCGCAGTCCGTCATATCACCACAGATTGTGTTGTCGTTGGAGAGTAGCTGAATTGAAACAAGTTTTATGCTGCACGCAATTAATGATTTAACGCAGTCCAGTTAGACAAATCTGTGAAACAAAGAAAATATCCACCCTATAAGCACGCACTACGTCATTGAGCTTGGAAAGCTGAACATAACCGTTATAACTCATGCGTGGTATATTGTCATAAATTCAAGAGTTTGGTTTGGTGCACTTTTTAGACACTATAACAAACTTAATGATAATATGTATGCGATTTTTAAAATGCGAAACAAAAATATCAATTTATTTTCCGTTTATTACTTTATTCGGGTACTCTAAACGAACTATTTGAAACTCATACTTTGTAATCGTTTGTCCTATCTCAACAACTCTGGCAGTACTTGTTCTGAGATAAGTTTGTTTGTATTCTGCAACTGCCTGAAGTACATTCTCCTATTACCTGTACAATTTGTTGGTTTTACGCAAGGACACACAATTAATCTGTTATACTTTTTCTAGAGCTTTTTTTTCAAGACTCGGACACATTCATCTTTCACTCGGGCTGATATGTTGTTTAAATTGTTAGAACTTAATTGTTCTCAGAGTTTTTGTTTATTGCTTTTCTTTATCTCTGAATCCAGTCAAAACGTATGTTAAAACATAGAAATAAAGAAGACGAACACGTTGAAAAAAAAATATGTTTTAATTCCATGTTGCATTGCGTTGCGTTGCGCTGCGTTATCATTTAAACGTTATTACAATATATGATAAATTCCGAAATTTTTAGATTTAAACAAAATAACCCCAAAATAGAATGGTTTCGTTTGTTTGATAATAACGTTTACAGTCGGAAGACGGAAGGCTAGATTGTAACGGTACAATCGAACCGTCGACATCTACCCTGGATTTATTGTAAGCGTCGTACTAATGAACTTAGTACCCAACCAAAATAATTGTTCTGTGTTAGTGTTTAGTATACATTGCTTGCCTACACGTGTGAGTATAGTTTTACCTCACTGCTCGTCTGATCTTTGATTGGTCACACTGAGTATCAAATGTTTCAGAACTCGTGCCACACACCCGGCAAACATTGTTTCTATATACCCCATGGCATATTTGAAATATAATTAAACTATATATCCCAATATACAATACAGATCCACTCAAAATGTTTGTTTAGACGACCAGACTTGAAGCAAAAACGTTTCAAAACAATGACCTTCTTAAAATGTCAGTTTGTTGTGATATTTGGATTGAGTAAGTGTCATCTTACGGTAGCTAGAAAAAAAACTTGACCTGCTCTGTATTGGTAGAAATAAGTTTATTTGAACTAAGTGAGATATTTTAAACACATCACGCTTTTAGTTTCAGATAGTACTAACAATGTACCTATATCTCTTTAAGTTGATTAGTTTGCTATCTTCGACGTTTTAATACCACGAAAATACCACGCAAAAGTCGAGAAAGTGAGTAAATATACGATATGAACATGTTGTGTGTGGAATATGTTTCATACGGTGAATGAAAGTTTCGTCCACCATATATTATCTCGGCCATGCAGATGGTGGAAGTCTTCATATTTATTTTTGGCTTACCGACAACTCAAGTGTTACAAGTAATACATATATATTTCTTATTACAAGTGGCCGAAAATTCCGCCTTCTGAAAAACGCGTGGACGAAAATTCCGCCTTCTGAAAAACGCGTGGCCGAAAAGTCCGAGGATGAAAATGGTGGCCGAAACTTATTCAGTTAATTCTGTGAAAGCAGCGACAGTATACGTGAAACATATTGGAAATATTAGACATGGATTTTGAAATTAAACGATGAAATGATATTAAAAAAAAATTATGTTAAAGTTAATGCGATAGGCGGGAAACAACAGTCATTTTTCAGTAAATTCTGATGGAAAATTTGCTTCAAAGTGAAAAATACATTTATACCTAAAGTTCAAAGGTCAACAACAAATGAAAATAGATTTTAAAAACGAAAACGGATTTTAAAAATAAAAACGGATTTTAAAAACGAAAATGGATTTTGAAACAAAATTCGAAATTTAAGAACAGATCTTAGAAACGAAAAAAATTTCAGAAGCGAAAATGTTATTAAAAAGGACTATAAAATAAAATAGAATTATAAAAATGTAAATGAATTGTAAAAATGATTTTATAAAATTCCATGTTGCGAGTTAGCTCGGTTGCCGTACTATACCGAATATGGTCAAAGATTGTAAATTTTGTTACACAAAATGTAACTACTAATGCGTGAAATTCCTTAACGCCTGTGTCTGTACTGACCCGTTAACCCCACTCCGCCCGTGTTCATCCCTTGTTTCAGTTTTGTCTGTTACCTCAAGGACTTTCCACTATGGTTCTAATTCTCTCAATGTTAATAAAATGTCCCGAGGCAGGTGCAAATAGGTCTTAATCAACATGGTGCGATACTCGTAAACGCACTAATATACTCCGCATATGACACAGTCGTATCACTGAAACATCACGCGCGTTAATATTACTAGAATTTCCTTCCTCTTTTAATGACTTCACAGCAATTTTCAAGTTGTATTTTTGGGATCAGAGATTAGCAAAGTATGATCATGCGCTGGATATTCACTTTTCAATATCCGCAGTTTTTTTTTTTATAAATGCATTTTTTTTTATAAATATCACTAATTGTGTGTTGATACATGGAACGGTATAATGTGCAGCCCCGGGCCGTCGTCTACCACGGCGTGGCAGTGCGTAGCCAAGCAACTTGAACCGATGGTTGTGATTGCGAGCGACGTTCAGCACCGGTGGTCCATGGTATTCGATCGTTGTTGGCGGCATACGGCAGATACATACACTACAAAATTAACAATTAATTGATAAACATTTTTAAAAATTGTCTACGGGATATCATCTTATAGACGAATCGCACTATAGTCACAGCTTCGTCTGTGTTCGATTCGATTTAGGTAATCCGTGCTTTTCTTCGGCAAATTGCCTTGGTGCAAAGAAGATTCAAACTCGTTTGTTCGAATTAAAACTGACTTCACGCCGTTTGCTTTACGATCAAATGTCTGATTTCAAAGTGGGATTAATTCCCCATATACCGGTCTCTTTAGATCTTAGCAAAATAGCTAGCAGTATGGCCATTATTCGGAGATAGCGATACCGATCAAAAACACGTGACGTGCTGAGTTGATATGCTTTGGAATCCATCAGAATTTATGATAGGTGGGGGACAGTTTTCTAAAACTATTTGCCATACCCCTGGATGCATGTACAAGAACTCAAATCGCCACAGCGTCTTGACAACCGCTTTCATGTTGAAGTCGGTTATTCCGGGTGTTCAAACTTTCCCGGACAGCACACATATATACCCTTTACTCGCCATTTGACCACGATCATTACGAGGCACATATGCTCGGGTAAAATACACGACTTACGTCGATTCATTTTCAGTCGTAACGACTATTGCACTTCAAATTATGCTTTATAAATCTAACATCATATTCACTGTGACCGCAATGTGCAATCGAATACTACGCCTGTTTGGTGGAATTGGAAGGAGCCTGGAGGAAGTCTGTTTACAGACTGAGCTAGCGATCAAATCAACGGGATTGCTGTTTTTCATAAACATGGAACCACGTAAGTTGTGTTGGTAGGCAGCGTGAGGTTGGCTCCCCAAGAACACGGGACGGGACAGATAAACTTGGGTAAACACGGAAGCCGTCTCAACATCGTTTCCGTGGATTGAACATGACAGCAATCTCACGGAGAACATCGTCTTAACATCAATCTCGCCTCTACACAATCTCACCCTCTACTAGAATATTGCAGTAATTTTGTAGACGAACTAGGTGAACAACCTTCACTACATCTTTTACATCAATTATATAGCACTCCTATATTATTTATTTTTGCTGCTGGCGAAAGTCGTTGAGGCCGTGTCTCTCTACAAAATTTCGCAATTTTGACTGACTCTGAAAATTTGCAAAATATGTAGAAATGATTAATTTTGCATGAAACAATAGACCTTTAGCCAACCAACCAACCAAAACAATCATACCACGGACTTCCACCGGAAATAGAACTTCCCAGAATGCACGGATTGCTACTAGCTTTATGTTTGCCACGGATGGATCTTTAACCAGAAAATTGCACAAATTTATATTGCAAAAAAAAGCGATGAAGTTGTTGTTGGATTTTTGGTCAAATACACGTCATTTGACAAGCATAATGGAATGTTCATGATGAAATACACAAAATTTGTTTAAATTGATTCAATCATAAGGTTTCACCCAGGCTGAGATTCTGTTTGATTGCAGACGATTAGGGTAGCGATGATGAGATGGCGAGGAATTCTACCTTGCCCGTTTCAACGTTCCTACTCCCAGTTTACGTTGGCATATTTTTAAAGTTTTAAAAATTCACCGTGAACTTGTTATATTTCAAAATATTGCAAAAATATGGTATGCCTGCCATATACGCGAAGTTAGATGCGCAGTAGACACTAAATACAGCAGATTCACGCATCTCACTAACATGTGGTAGGTAAGGATGTAAAATAAACACTCGTGTCACAATCATTTGTTTTTGTAAGATGTTTATTTTCATTCCCCTAATTTGACGATAAACTGAGTAGAAATACGAGTCACGTCTTCCGACCCTGTCAATCCATCTATGCAGGCCAAACAGACTCGATCGCGGTGCCGTGGTTCGCTGTAATCTAATGTAACGTTTAACTGATATATGGGTGAGACATTGTGTTTTCCGATCAGGACGGTAATTAAACCGTACATGCTGGCAATACTTAAAGCGCGGTGGTCGTAGCGCAGCGCGTGTTCGAATTTCGTGTAAATAAAC